TTATCATTGCCATTAACTCTTATAACTCCACCAGGTCCAACCACATTACCCTTTTCATCTATTCTGTTCCCCAAGTAATTACTTCCCGTTGTACCAGTAGTAATATTTGAGTTAACACCCAAAACATCGCTTGTTGTACCATACTGTCCAAACTTATGAGCTTCAGACTCTTGAGATGTTCCAGAAATGCTTCCCATTTCCCCTTGTAAAGCAAAGATGCCTCTCCCAAGCAAAAAGTTGGATCCGGTTTGGCTCAAATTGTAGGTGGGTCTACTGTTCATATAGTTGTCAAAGCCATGAAAACCAGCATTTTTGTTAATCATGGGGCTAGACTGACCAAGACCATAGCCAGGTTGGGAATTGAGAAGATTGTTTTTGCTTAGGCTTGTCTTGTGGCTGTAAGAGCGTTGTGGGTCAATGGAGATCATAGCTGTTCTTATCTTTTCTACGTCTTTTTTCATACTCTTTCTGAACTTCTGTGTAATGTCAACAGAGTCAACATTTTAGTTATATCATATGTTTTATGAAATTCAATGTATAAACAAAGTTAACTCGATGTGTAAAATCATCTAAAACACCGAACAAAGATGAATAAATGGCAAATGGTACTGAAGCAATGTTGATAGAAGATTGAACCTGTAACTTGCTGGCTACATGTGCTTTTGTTAGGTAGTCCAGGTCCATGAATTCTAAAATCTTCTTAGGCGTAACCTCTTCAAAAATATATCAAACACGAAGCAAAAAGAAATAAGAACATTAGTATATGTCTAATTCCAAATACTTCGAAAATGCAAGTAAGAAAACGAGAGTTGTTTTTATAGGGTTTAGTATTAACGTGAGAATCATTTACTATTTGGTAATAATAAACGTAAAATCTATAAAGACATTTCGAGAATATTATTTAAACTAACACGAACGATCATGTAAGAAACTAATAGAAGACTATTATATTCCCATGATAAAGAATATTACAAGGAACACAACTAATAATGATAACAAAATCTAACCTGTGGAAATAGAATTTCAAAAATGTGAAGTACTTACTATGAATACCAATGTGTTCAATGGCTTTGTCAAATTGACTCTGAAGAGAAGTCGTCCATGTGATCTTAGACTTCTTTGTGGCCTTTGCTCCAGAGCTTCCATCATCTGGATTGCTGGTTGAATTTGTGTTCTGAATTTCTTTTGAACCACCTGTATCTTTTTTACATATTACATTCAGATATCATTTATATAATGTATTTACAATTATATTAAAACATATCTAGAATAAAATTGTGCAAGACTGAAGGAGAACAAAAGGATTATCATTATCGTTCACATCATATGCATCACTTGTTAATACAAAATTACCGTTTATCTTGTAGTTTAAAGCATGCTGGCATATGATGTTGCAGTCGTTTGGTTTGATCGGTTTACTCATGAAACACACTGCTCCAGAAGATAAAGCCTCTTGCTCAATTTCATTGTTCATCTCTGCTGACATCACTGCCATAAGCAATCAAATCAGAAAAGAGAATGAAAAGGAACTAGTTAGCATCAACTGCAACAATAAAAAGTATTAAGAAAAAGAAATCACAATAGTTTAAGGAAATAACAAAGGAACTAGTTTGCTTCTAGTGTCATTTTCTTCTTCTTTTCAATCGACACTGACCTGAGATTCTTGGGGAGCCAATTTCTTTTTACAATTTTTCTTATTGCATAATGTTATTATATATGGGACATGTATCCTTTAAAGGAATACATTGGTTTACCTTTTCTACCATCTAATACACCATTTCTTAGCTGTCAAATATACATAAATCATACGTATTTAAAGAAAATTTAATATATTTCTTATTGTAACTTATCCTTTTGCCATAGGGAAAATTATATTAACAAACTAAATAGAATTAGAACCACTAGTTATCTTGTTTAATTATTAATTAATTTAAAAAGTGTGAGCAAAAGGAATTAAAAGAATAAAAGTCAATTAGAATTGACTTGTGGACACACAAAGTAATAATTTGGCTATTAGATAATAAGTGGTAAGAAAGACCCTTACCAATGACAGGCAAATTTCCAAATTCTTCGTTAATCCTCTTTTTTAATTGTGCACCATTCAAACCAGGCATATGATAATCGGTGATTACAACATCAATGTTGTTGAATTGACATCTAAGCTTAGATAATGCTTCTGACGAATCATTTGCTGTCATTACTGTAATTTCCCCAAATGGTTTATCTACAAATCAAATAATTAAAATATCAGAAATATGTGTATGGGTGAATATGTACGTACACGTGTATATATGCAATTGATTTGGACGATTTTAATAAGATTTTTTACTTATTTTGATATTGGTTTCCATCAAAACTGATCTTACAAAGAAAAGAAACGATGTGGTGTTTGCAATTCCAAAAAACAGTCGATAAATCTGAATGAGCTACATTTTCTTTAATTTATTTAAAATTAAAACTTAAAATTTGAAAAGAAAAAAACACACATTTTTCATGTAAACGTATAGACGGCTCTGGCCGGTTAAATTGTGGGTAGGTAGGACACTAATCGAATGGTCAAGGGTTTCCAAACATGGAGTATAAGAAAATGATTTCTTTACAAAAAAACAAATTCCAAGTTTACATCAAAATTAATATATTGTAAATTCCCAAAGACTAATTCACAAGAACACTAATTAGTCTTTGGGGACAACATTTCTTTTACCCTAGAGAACATATATGATTAAGCTGGTGGGGGTGATAGGTAACAGTAAATATTCTTGAATCATCAACACGTGAATACAATTCTCGAATATATATATATATAAGAGTTCTAGTGGCGAGATGAGCAATTCAATAGCCAGAGTAGTGATTATACATACCTATGTAGATCGGGGTTTTAAGCATATTGGAGATAATAGAGAGAGAAATAGGATCATCATCCACAACCAGAACTGTGATGTTCATAGGAGTGTGTTGGTGGTAAGAAGGTAGATCAAAGTCCATTTTGCCTGTTCTATATGAGCAATTTGTGTTTGACAGTATCAGATAGTTTTTCTTCAACAAACTATGCAATATATACAGAGTTGGAACTTAAAAACTTGCTCGTGAAGATAACTCTTGGAATGGTATGTATTGTGAAATAAAAAGCATTGTTTTCTTTTTTGGTCTCTTTTTAATAAATATTTTTGGTATAATATTTAGGGGTGGAGAAAATTTATAGTAACTAGGAGTTACAATGGGCAAAACAAGAGTAATTTATTTAGATAAGCCAAGTCAAAATGAACAAAAAAAAAGGTTTGAAGAAAACCAGATGGATGAATACTTTGTGCTAAAAAAAAGAATAATTTGTGCTAAAGATATATAAAAGGTATTCAATATAAGAGTATTAAACAAGATAATTTGAAAATTTTGATATATATATATATACCACTTTTTTTTAAAAAAAATACTGTGTGCTAAACATAATACAAAATCTAGACAAAACTAAGGAAAATTAATGATATTTAGCAATAAATTTAATTTTTATTGAAAATCTTTATGTTCAATGAATATTTATAGTAATGAATCTAGATTTTTTATCAAATGAATATAAAACTATAACCCTTGAGTTTTAGTCACAGATCTACTTCTTAATAATTGTCGTGTCTATTTTATATATGGATTTGGTGACAGATGTCTAATGTCTAATTGTTTTCAACTTAAAAAACTAATGTCATTTAATATACTAGTTGCATAGTCTCCGCGCAATCGCGGAGTCAGAAACATTTTTAATGATTTATTTTTGGTATTTAATATTTAGTTTTGTTGTAAAATTTCCAAAGATAAAATTTAATTTTTTTTGTTATAAATATAATTTAAAAAAATAAAAATGACCAAAATAAATTTAAATATTTTATCAAAAATAAGTAAATATACATTTATATCCCTTGGGTTAACTAATCTTAGAGTTTTTTTATTAGAGTTGATGAGTGAGGTTTTTGAGATAGAATTTCAAATTTAAAATAAAAATGCCATTTATCATTTTGGTTTTTAAATTTTTTTTTTTATGATAATAATTTTTAATAATATATTTGAGAGAATTGCCGTATCTTATATTTATAATGGTTTGGTCGACCATTTACGGTAGTATTGATCTCATGATCGTTGTTTACCGAACTTTTTAAGTTGTAATGATATTAATAAAACTGTGGTAGTGAAAGTGTTTTTTTTCCAAATTTAATAACATATACAAACAATTTATAAGTTTTCTTTTAAAAAGTTCCTAGAGTTTATTTTGTATCTAAATATTAGAATTTTCTTTTTGTTGGATATAGTAAATTTTCTGTAGTTTCTTTGTTTGTCAACTTAACTTTTTATTATCATGAAGCCCATGAAATTACATAACTTGAAGACCTAGTTCTAGCATCTTTGACTAAAGCTCAACGTACATAAGCAAAGTTCATGGTATATAATGAAAACTAAAATTTTCTGCTTCAGTCATAACCTTAACGTCTCGCAGCAAGGAGGAAGCCTTCGTGATACGGACTCTTTTGATGGTTCTTTCAGTAGAAAACTGATTCAACTCATCAAGTCCTTCAATAAATTTTTACAATTAGCTTCAGACGATTTCACATATAAAGAAAAAAAAACATGTGAGATGACCATAAAACAAAAAAAAAGTAACAGATAACAACCGTTTCTTCTAAGAGGAGAACCATGATCCCCATGAACTCGTCATTCTTGTTGATGTTTCGAGAATCCCAGAACCCGATGATACGACCAACAGTCTTTCTGAGCTTCTGAGGTGGAGAGAGTTGAATCTGGAGTAGACCACGGCGTCTAGGGCGACAACAAGACCTGAAGAAGTCATTTCGTAACGTTTTAAAATGCTGAGAAGAAGCGTGTAAAGTGAAAGGAAAGCTCACCTCAGAATACCTCAATATATAAAAGCATGGAGAATGCGTTAAGGAGAAGAGGCGTCTCCACTGCATTGAATGAGTTGAGTCTTGAAGTCATGGAGTTTCAGATTCTATCGCCGGAACAGGAACCGTCAACGGCGGAACCAGAGCAGGAAAAAAAAAAGGAATGTAGGGTTTTCAATTTACACTATTGAGCCAAAAAATAAAAAGCCCATCTGAAATATTCAAACGAAATGAAAACTTAAAAAGATGAGAGCTAAGGGATTCAAACCCATAACTCCGCGAATTAAGCTTTATTATCACTGCTTAAACCACTAAGCCAAGTCCTCATTCATTATTATACAGTTAAAGAAAATTTCGTGGGCCCATAATTTTGGTTCCATTTTTCGTAACGCATTAATTCTTAATTGGGCCAACAAATGGTTCCATTTTTCGTAACGCATTAATTCTTAATTGGGCCAACAAATAATTAGTTTGGGCCGGAAATCATCAACATATACGCAAGAAAAAAAATGGAACCAAAATGATTCGAACCTGCCCCCTCTCGCGTATTAAACACTAAATACGATGGTGTTGCCATTCAGCCAAGTCCTCATTCATTATTATACGGTTAAAGAAAATTTTGTGGGCCCATAATTTTGGTTCCATTTTTCGTAACACATTAATTCTTAATTGGGCCAACAAATAATTAGTTTGGGCCGAAAATCATCAACATATACGCAAGAAAAAAAAATGGAACCAAAAGGATTCGAACATGTCCCCTCTCGCGTATTAAACACTAAATACAATGGTGTTGCCACTCGGCTAAATCGTCATTCAATAATATTATGAACCGTTAAATATTTATCTTATTATGTGGTTTTGGTTCCGCGAAAAAGTAAACAATGGGATTCGAACCCATCCCCTCGCACAAGATACCTCAATGCCGCGTCATCGACCACTCGACCAAGAGCACATTCATTGTACATACCAGCGCCAAAACGAATTATAGAATAAAAAAACGCGGGTGCTGACGTGGCGCGCTTAGGAGCCTAGAAACTGTACTATTATAATATAGATTTTTTTGTTTATAGCTAGTTAAGGGATAATGCAGTTTCTAAATAAATGACAAAGAGGGCTTGAGATATGTGGACACGATTGATATTTGACAGTTTTGGACGATTGTATCAATTTTCATCTAGTTGTTATATAATTTGATTTACCACAAAAACATGTTATTTATCCGAAAACTCGAACCGAATTTAATATGATAAAAATGAATTTGAACTGATTCAAATCTGAAATAAATATCGAATGGATTTTGTTTTATAATATTTTGGGTTATGGAATTATCCGAACCGAATACAAACCTAAATGAATATTCGATCGAATCCGAAACATTCAATATGCCAAAAAAGATATTGTACCAAACATGATTTCAATTTCGAATATGTATCTAAAATATTTTAAGATACTATGGTATATCTAAAATAATTATGTATTATATGAAGTTTGATGGTTGAAAGTGGCGGTTAACTTAAAAATTTTAGATTCTGGTTTCATTGAATAATATTTCTCATTTTGTGATAGCTTGGTTTTTGTTTTAACTTTCATTTATTTGACTTTTTTTCTATCAATAACTATGTTTAACTTTAGTTTGATAAAAAATGATCACATTTGATTTTTTTTCTTATTTTTGAATCGTTTTTACTTATGTTTTGTTACAAAATAAGTACAAATCAAGTATTTTAGAAAAAAAAAACATTTTATTTATGTTTTGATTACAAAATAGGTACAAATCAAGTACGTTTAAACCGAAAAACCGATTGGGATCTAAACCCAAAAGTACATCAGATTGTACCAGTTCTTTGAAGATTTACTAACTCCGATCCGAACCCGATAAAACTCAAACCAATCCCAAACTAAATTTTCATCTAATTCGAATGGGGCTAATTTTGATAACCTAAAATCCGAAATCCGATGGATAAAACCGAAATCTGATTGAAATCTCAAATGCCCAGACCTATTATCTCCTATATGAAATTTGTGTTTATCAAACAAAGTATCATACAAGTTTACTAACCCAATGTTCAAAAGCAGTGGCTAAACGCTTTATAGATATTAATGTTAAGACATGCGACAACACCGACTTTTACGTAGATCGAATTTTTTAGAAAAAAAATCTGGAAAAATTATTTCGTTTAGATCTAATTTACAGAGTCAGATACCCTTCTTATTATTTGAGGAGAACTTTTGCAAATAAACCTTTACTTCATATGTTTATTACATGCATGTCATTTCCTACGTGGCAACTCCACAAGCCTTCTCACATCTTTTAACTAAAAGACCTTAGTTAACTAGAATAATTACACAGCATGCCATTGATATAAATATACATATATGACATATATGATATAACAATAAAGACATGCATATACTCGGCATATAGTTAATTAAATTTCCTTATATATTTCCTTATATACGATACGATATATTTTGTTACATAAGTATGATATATTTCCTGATATAAGTATTTTGTTACATGTACGATATATTTTATGTATATCATTCTC